CAATTAGGTTTAGGGCTATCTATCCCGTCTCTGGTGTGGAGGAGGAAGCGCATCCTAGAGGCTTTCATTTAGATGACCTGCCGGAGTAGGCATCGACGCTCGTTTTGAGATTTGTCAAGAGGGTAGATTGGTACCGGTAGATGGTCTTAGGGATTGTATTGCGTGGAGCTACGGAGTGTAAATTTTAGTGTTGCCGATGAGCTTTCTTGTTGAGCTAGTGCATGGTCTTCGTGTGAGTATGCAGGCGGGACCCCTTCTCCTTTTACTATTACTACTGCTATTAAGATGGAAGAACAGAAATGGTGAAGTCGAGTCAAAATTATCGACAAATGTTATAATACCCGAAGTATAATAAATTAATTTTTATTTTAATTTAGATTAAAAAATTAGATCAAAGAACTTATTAAATTACAATTATACAAATTGTCTAACATGTCAGCAATATCCTATATCTTTTCAATGTTCCATTCAGTGTTCACATGCTGCACATTTTTCATTGAAAAAAGTAGACATAAAAAATTTAATAAACTTCTTTCTTTAACCTTAACATAATAATTTTCTTATGAAACGTGTAAACTTATTGTGTGTTTTAAAAACTGCTATGAGCAAAGTACTAAAAACAAACTTTCTGTAATAAAGTTATTTGCTTTAATGTAATCATTATTGTGTAATTTGAAATAATTAAAGACAATAACAATGGTAAAAAGAGCTGAAAAAAACAAATGTCTGAGGAAATTATTGATTTCCTCTTGTAAAAATAGGCTTTTGACAAGGAAAACTTATAATAGGAAAATAATGGAAAGAAAATTTCTAGCAATATTATAGCATTTCCTAGTCTAGTTTTCTTTCCAATTATTAACGTGTACTTAAATATCTTTAATTTTGATGATATTGTATGTGTTTTATGTGTTTGGTGTTAAAAACAGTTATTGTTATAGTTTTAACATAAGATTTTTCGAGTACTTTAAGATATCTGTAAAAAATTATTTAAAAAACCTACTCAAGATTAATGAGATACTTATACTAAACCTTTCAATAGACTCAGATGAAAAACTATATGAAAAAATTTAGTAATGACACTTTTTCACCGCGGTATTAGGAACAATTTTATGCTGGCTAGCTTGTTTGTAAAGTAACAATCTTCTATATTGATTTTCGACAATTTTACGTTACATTATATGGGGATCGCGGTAGATTGGCGTACTAGGGAATGAAATAGCTGACGTGCTAGTCAAGGAAGAGGGCTAAAGTATCCTCTATGAGGTCAGAATTTTTCGGGTGGATCTTGAGAGAAGGTAAAAAAGTAAAGTTCGAGTATTGGAGAAATATTCCGGGTCTGTGACAAAAAATATTATGCGATGGGAAAGATCTAGTTTAAAATCCTCATGAGTTCCCTGATAAGGCATTACCGGCGGAGTAGAACCCTAAAGAATTGGAGTTAATAGCAAAATAACGGTGCTTTATCCTCACATGTTGAATTCATCAAGGTTTGCAAGGGTGCTTTAGACATATAGGTGAATGGAACATGAGTATAGTATTCCCCGACTTAACTAACTAACTACTCTTTATAAACTAAATTTTGGAATTCAATGCTAGTTACTTTACTTATAATCAAGAAAGGGTAACTAAAAGGTTAATAAAAAGGATTACCTTCTAATTATCGCCTAAAGTAAATACGAAAATTGTTTTGAATTATGTGCAAATTAGAAATGATTAGAACAACAGCTGGATTTGATTGCAAACAAATAATCATTTCAAGGAATGCAGTTTATCATTTCAAAATAAATTTTAACACTGCCGCTATAACTATAAGGTAATTGGTTAGATGTTACAAATAACTTTGTAAGTATATTTGATTAGCATCACTGTTGATTACAATTTTTAATTTTCACATCACAAAAACAAAAAGTCTCATTTCTGTCCAAGTTTGATTAAAAAGTTTTTGTTTCTTAATTTCTTCTGCGTTTCGTTTTTTTTCTGTTTGATTTGTTGAATTTCCATTGTTCTTTTCACTTGATAGTACAAAAAAAGATTTTCTTTTATTTTTCCATACAATTGTTATTATCATTCAAGTTACTAATGATAAATGAGTTGAATGTTAAAATAAAAATTTTGTTGGATGAAACGAGCAAAACTGTTGGATAAAAAACAGAAAAAAATAGAAGAAATGGCAAACTTTTCCTCAACAATTATAACACTTTTTCTTAATAGTTTTTTGTTTTATCCATACATAAAAACATTGAAGTTTGAACTTACAATAATGTTAAAAAATTGAAATTGAAAATTACTTTTAAAAGTTTTCCGTCTTTGAGTACTTTAATACCAGTATATTCTTTAGAATATGTGAGGATTTTTATCACAGTTTTTTTTTTTACAAAATATTCTGTAAATTGCAAACGATTTTAAATGAATGTTTCTAAAAATTTTAAAGTAAGGTTACATAACCTTTTACTTTTCAGAAACTGCTGGAAAAATGGTATTTTCTCGAAATTAAAAATTTTATATTATATCACAAATTCTTGAACTGTAATGGAGCCCAAATTATCGAGCTGAAGTTAAACAAATCTTCTATTTTGGAAACTTTCTGATATAAATGTGAATGATTAATTAGTATAATTGAAATTTGAAAGCAAATCTATTTAATTGAATTTAATTGATTCAGTTACTGTAAAATGATGCCATCTTGTAATATAAATTAAACTTGATCATTCGAATTCCATACTCCATAATTATTAAGTTCTATAGAACTGTTGTACTGTATTTTATTTGAATTTTATAAAAATTTATAAAGTGAACTGTGAATCTCTTACATGCCCGAAAATCCTTCAAGTTTTGTTCCTTATTTATATATGTATAACATTTTCTCATAATAAATGTATGTATATTAATAAATTACTCGCTAAATACAGATTGGCATTATATGAAATTGCTCTTGATACAGAGACTCTAGTATATGATTAATATACAAAAATAATTTTTGTAATATTGAGCATCCAAAAACTATAACAATTTTATTTCAGTATAACAATTTACAAATTTTGCAAATATCAAAAAAAAAAAAAAATTCAATTCTCACTTAAGGGAAATGTTTTTCTTTTCTTGTATGTATGTATTTAATTTTTTCTTACTTTTATACACAAAACTACAATTATTTGTATTGTTGTTTGTATATGAAAACTAAATTACATTTTTATAAAAAAATATAGATCATATGGAGGAAGGTTGAACTGAAATGATATTGGAAAATTAGTTTTCAAATTCTATTCGTAGAATGTATGGTGTTTCTCTTCTTGTTCTGGTTTTTTTTTTTTGTTACTGAAATTGACTTGAAATCAGATTTCTTTTTACATTTTTTCTTATTATTTTGTTCTAAGGTAATTTATCATAGTTAAATGTGAGAAATGAAAATAAAAAATGTTATAAAATAAAGCTATAGAATAAATAGAACTGTCGGTCGGGTAGTATTCGAAATTCAAATAAAAAAAAAAAATAGCAATAAAAATAGAAAATCTTTCATTTTCTTTTTGGATTTAATCAGTCATTAGCACAGTTATTTATAGAAGTTTAAACATCATGTATAATATGATTGTTGCATAATGATCTAGAATCAAAATAAAATTTGTACCTTTTATACCTTCGTAGTTTTGTTTAATTCATGTAGGTGCTTAATGTTAATATACAAATCAATTTATAAAATACTGAAGGTTTTAGGGAAAAAATTAGGTTTAAATTTATTGATTGTGCATACTGGTTTAGTGTTTGTATAATGATTTCATAGTGCACCAAAATTTATGCATTAAATTGTCTTCCTCAAATTTCTAATTTAATTTAGGATAAATGTCACAATTTGCGTGATAATTTCACTAATCTTCAATTCTGTACGGTTTTTTTTTTCGAATCAACACAGATTACAATTGTAAAAATTACGTAAAAATTAGATCTTAATTAGAAAAATTTTGGAGGGCAATTATCTTGGAGAGCAATTGTCAGATCCGTTCTTAAAATCTATTTCAATGTCTCATGTTGTATACCATAAAAACCATAAATCATTGATCAAATAAATCCGTATTATATTTGAAGGTGTATCACAAGATTATATTCATCGACACATCAAATTATGCAATTTTTATGAATGCAATGTAATTTTAATAGTCCATTTTTGATTGGTGTGAGGATATTGCACAGTAACAAGTAGTAAGTCAAAAATGAACCTAATCAATGAACAAAATTTGTTAATAAAAACAATTGGAACTAATATTAAAGCATAATGATTGATTTCCAAAAGTAAAACGGAGTTGGTAAGATTGATAGTGGTGTTTTTTAAGACAGTCAACCGTTTTCAGTTTGTCAAGCCTCATAACCTTTTGAATCATTCTAAATGTGATCATGAATATGAAAAAATGAGTACGGTATACTACAGTTCATTTGACATTTTATTTTCTTTTGTAACTTTTATATTTATCCAACAGGGAAATCCATGTAGTTATGATTTTCATAAACCTCACGTAGTGGGGTTATTTTAGCTATACGGTTAATACCTACTATTCTAAAAAAAATTTATGTTATCGGCAAAAATATTTTACATTATTTTTGCACAGTAATTAATTAATGAGTAAATATTTAATCATGCTGAACAATATAACAGTTTTTTTCACTCCATCTATAACTAACTGTTTTAACAACTAATTGAAATGCTACACCAAACCAATCTGTTATAATTTTTTCGTACAGTTTATCAGATTTTCTTATAACCATTAATTCGAGATATGAGACAAAAAAAAAATGTACATAATATTTACGAAATTTATTTCTCATTTTTTCATATTGTGTTTTTCTTCATAGGCCTATTCTGGGACCTTTTTCTTTTTTTTAAAATCTGCTGTTACAATTTTTAAAGTTAATTCTAACGAAACAATACACGCATAAAAATAAAATTTTTAAAAAATTTTTTGATTACTTTTTTTTTTAAAATATTTTTTTTCTTTTTTTTTTAGGCACAACAACAGCAACAAGCCCAACAAAATTTATTGAATAAGTCAAATGATGACTTGCGAAGAAAACGGCCTGAAGCAACGCGACCAAATCATATTTTGCTATTCACTATTATTAACCCTTTCTATCCCATTACAGTGGTAAGTACTTATATTATTATTTAATATTTATGGATACAAATAAATTTGTATGCGAATGTGTGTATACCTAAGTCTTGATATTTTAATGTTATTTTTTCTTAAAATAACGAAGAAAAATTGACTTTTAACAGATTTTTGAAATATTGTGAATATTATGCACACAAACATGCACATATTCGTATATGAATACAAGGTTTTTATGCATACAAAAAATAAATTTTTTACTCTAATTTAATTTTTTTCTTTTATTTTATGAAAATTACTGTTATTATTAGTCATTATTATATTGTTATTTGTTACTATAAAAACAAAAACGGAAAAAAAAAGTAGAGAGAGTACAGTACGGTTTATGTTATTGTTTCTCTCATTTTTCTTTTTTTTTGTTTTTTTTTTTCTCTTGATCCCAATCATGACGATGATATGAACTTAATAAAAAAAGTGCTTTTGACAGAAAACAATTAGGATTTTTGAAAGCGTGTTTATTGTTTATAAAAATATAAAATATGTACATATTTTTCTTGTTATTATTATTATTTATGAATTTTGAGATGTGACAGAAAGAGAGAGAAAAAAAAACACATTTCCTTTCTATAAAATTTATTGTTTTGGTTTTTTGTTGTTTGTTAGACAGAATTAACGGGTTTTTGGCTTTTTTTGCTTCTTCTGTTGCCTTTGTACTCAAATTTTAATCCGTAATTTTTGCTACTATGTATTACTACTATAGAATATGTTACAAGAGTGGGAGAGAGGGAGAGAGGGAGATAACATCAAAAAATCGAAAAAAATATAATAATATTGCACATAGAGAGGGGGGAGGTTGTAACAGTTCAAGTTCGGGTTAGAAAGATTGAAAGAGAGCAAAAAAAAAAAAGTCAATAAGAAAGAAATTTGAAAAATTAATCATTTCGTAATGTTTTTTTTTTTCTTTTTTGTGTTGTTCGACCGTTATTTTCGTATATTTTTTGCAATGAACAGTTGTTAAAGGCGTTTTTGTGTTGAATATACAATTTTTCTTGTTCATTTTTGGGTTTATTGGATCACAGATGATGTTTAAAGTGTTTTCTTATTTTTTTTGGTTTTGTTTTATAGGTTCTGGATTTTTGTTATTTTTCTTGTTTTTTTTTATTAGGATTGATAATAAAAAGAAAGTTTTTAATCTAATGACAAATTGATTGTATTGAATCGGCTCTTTTTTGTTTCCATTTTGTTTTTACTTTTTTTTACTGCATATTTCATCCTTTATTATATTGGCAATATTAGAAATTTATTATATCTGAAATACCTAATTTTCTCGGGTTTTTTATCCTAACATTTTATTAATTTAATTTAATAAATTTAATAATAATAGGATTTTTAATATATTATTATTATTATTTTAATATTTCTTTTATTAAAATTATGAGGTTATGAAATTTTTCTAATGTTTAAACAAGATTATAATAATTATTTTTTTAATCTATGTATATTAATGTTAAAGGGCCTAAAGGCAAAATATTATTATATAATGATTATCATAATTTCCATAATATTGTAATTAATTTTTTGGGTGTTTAACATGCATTAATGATAATAATTAATTTGTTAACGAAAAATAACCCAAGTAATAATATTATTAGCCTAAATATTATGAGCCTTGCGAATGGCTTATAAATTGGAGAACTTAATTAGAATATTATATTTACACTATTTAGAAATAATTTAAAAAATTAAATTTAGACTATTTAGAAATTAATTTTAGTCGTCATAAAACAATATTGCTAAGGTCGAAAATAGTCGTTTTTCGAGAAACTTAAAACTTAGATAATTCTAGTTATCTGTCTTTAAAATCTAAAGTAGTTGGAGACAGATGTTCAAAGTTGTTAAATCATCTACCACAATTTTACAATTTTCTCAATATGTTGCTGTCATATCAGCTGTCAAAAAGATGTCAAATTCTCAGAAGTGACCCATACAAACTGGCTTAAAAAAATAACCTTGTAGACGCTGAATGTTAATGATTAAAACAAAAACATTCTTAATAATTTTATTTCTACTACTTTCACACCTCAATATTTTTTTCTAATTTAATTTAATTTTTATTTAAAAGTATTCTTGAAAAATTTTCCATTTACAAAAGACAGTTATATAAAGTATAATTTATTTATATCTTATATTAAAATTATTTTATATGCATAGTATATTTTTGTAAGTTATTTTCTTCAATTTAATAGAATTTATTAAAAATTTATAGCACGTACATGTAATTTGTATAAATAATATTGTTCACTTTGCAGTATACTTGAATATTAAAATAAATAATAGTTACATACCTTTATTTTTCTTTTTTGTTTTTAATAAAGTCACTAAAAATGTATAACAAAGAAAGAAACTTAAATGTAATTAATTTTTCTTTTATAAAATAAACAACTATCTTTTTATTTATGACTTAAATAAAATTATACACATTTTTCCATATTAATTCACAATATAGGTATAGGACACATACATACTATACATACATTATTCTCATTATGTTATACAAAATTTAATACAGTGTATACCTTATTATATTGTTCATCTATAAAAAAGAAAAACAAAGAAAACTTTAAAAGGGTAAAAACTTTAAAATTGCATATAGGGTTATTTTAGAAATATTTCATTAAATTACACACTCAAAAAAAAAAAAAATAAGGCATATACAATACATCTTTCCCGTATAAACTACATGTATACCGTATATTATATTAATTCGAGTATATCTATATAAATTATTCTTATATAAAATAATTTTGCTGTTATTCTGTTGTTTTATACCGTTATATTTAATTATTCAATTAAAATAAATTGCAACTAAAATAATTACACACATGTGAGTAATATTTTCTTTAACAACATAAAATATTTTTTCTTCTTTTAATGTGTAAGTTTGTATATTGGATACTCTTATATACGATATTATTTATGTAAAGCTATACAATATAATATAACGTAAATTCATTTACGATGCATGACATTATTATCCTCTGAGTCTCTCTCTCTCTCTCTCTAAAAATAAACAAAACAAATATTATAATTCCTTTGCTTAAACTTCATAAAAGAAAGATTATCACAAAATTATCTTAATTTACGAAAACAACAAAATATTTATTTTGTCGTTATTCTTGTTATTTTTTTTTTTTTTATTTTTGATATAAATTATTGTATAGTTGATACATGTGTAGAAATTATTGTGTAAATGCTTGTGTTTGTATGCAAAAAGGACAAAAAATTTTAATACATGTGAACATACAACGTAGTATGAAAATTAATCCCGTATACCTACTGTATACTGAAAAAAATAATACTAAATTATTTTTATAAAGTGAATTGCAATAACATTAAATATTGTCGCCTTTTTTTTAATATCGTATGCAACGCCGAAATTTTGAATATTTATGTATAAATTAATGCACAAAAAGAACAGGTTAATAAACTCACTGATATTATTTTTTGAAAAATGTTTGTATATTCGCCATTTTAAGTACTGTTAATAATTAGTTAATTTTTACTAACTAATCATTCGGGTGTTGTTAAGATCTCAGAAAAATGAAAATGACTTTTTTATTTGGCAAACTTCTCGAACGCATTATGATCGTTTTCTTGAAATCCAACATTACTATACTAAAATTGTATTAATTCTTAAAACTGCCGGAGACCTTAAGGCGTTTCTCATACAACGATGTTATACAAGTTGGTCATGCATGTTGATCATGCATGTTGGTTCTTCAAGTTGGTCATGCATCTTGGTCATACAAGTTGGTCACGCAAGTAGATCATACAAGTTGGTCATGCATATTGATCATGCATGTTGGTTCTTCAAGTTGGTCATGCAAATTGTTCATACAAGTTGGCCGCGCGAGTAGATCATACAAGTCGGTCATGCATATTGGTCATACATATGTTGGTCCAACAAGTTGGTGATATATTTTAGTTATGCATGTTGTTTATTCGAATTGATTATGTTTGCATAGTTATAGGTATGTATATTAGTTACGCATGTTGTTTATTCAAATCAGTAATAGGCAAGTTGGATACGCCATGTATTATCAAGTTGGTCATTATTTATTATCATGGTAATAGGCAATACCAACTGTTTATGTCGTTTGGGAACCGACAGATTAAATGGAACGATTTTTTCAAACAAAATATATAAACAATTGAATTATTTACTAATTCTTATGGGTCTTCATTAACTTGAATTTATTTAATTTAAAATTTATTATCTATTTTTCATAAGTTTGACGATTTTACTAAAGTTTTTACTCTAAAATATTTTGAGTATAAATTTTTAATAATTCAATTTATCAACATCCTACTTTAAATTTTTGCTAAACCTTAAAATATTATGCTTATAATTTACCATTACTTTTACCAAAGTTACTTAAATTTAATTAATATTTTATTTTATTAATAAATTTCAAAATTTTTCATCATAAAATTTTATTTGCTTTTATGCTTCCACTGAAGATATTTTCTTATAATAAAAATTATTTGCATAATTATATTATTAATAGTAGAGTATAGGAACAATTCACAGTTTAATTTATGTACTCAAAAACTTACATACATGAAGATGTTAATAAGGCATTTATGTCATGTTCCCATATGCGCGTATAAAATTTATTACAGCAATATTTTTGAAATTGCATATAGTAATTTGTTTTCGTTTCATGTGGAAAACTATAATAATGTGATAATTTAGAAAATACTGTAAGGAAGGATAGAAGAAATTGTATTAAATATAATACATACGTACGTTACAAATAGTAGGTTATTTTGTTCTACTTTTTGTCATAATTTGATAGGACCAATTCCTATTCAAAAATATAATTAATTAAATATATTATCAAATACATGCACACGTACAAGTATTTGAATGAATTGTGATTGAACTGAATAAACAATATAGCTTTATAAGAGCGAATCTACTGTTATTGATATTTACTGTTTTAAATATTAATATTAATAATATTGTTTTAAAA